CTTCAAAGAGGGAACACAAAAGGAAAGATCGGGGATTATAGTTAGGTCCAGACACTTTTTTAAATCTATATAGTTTCTGACACATATCTAAAGATTACTTTTGCCTTACCAGTTTTCGTCGCTGGTGAGAAAAAGTTGAAGACGGGAGAGAAGATGGTTCCCAGCAGGGTGGTGCGTGGTGGGCTGCTTGCTGGCTCAACAGGGGCGTCTAGTTTACCATTTGGTTTAATGGGTTTACTGCTGCACGTCATTGTTTCTTGAATATTTACAGGAAAAAATAAATGTATCATTTTCTGTATATGGTGTGTTTTTTTGTTACCATTCAACTTGTGAAGCTGCAGTGAAGAGGGAACCAAATTACACTTCCTACTCAGACTGTGACTGACCTTTATTTGGAGTTTTCCGGCAAACTCTGGTGACTGTTTTATTGGAAAGGCCTCTAGTCTGTGGTGTTGAAGTGATGAGATTGCCGTCAGAATTACAATCAATACGACTCCTCTTGGCGGGGATTTCCTGCTCAACCTGCGGGAGGAAAAATGTCATCTGAAGTCTGGGATACTGTGACAATTCTCAATCTCAATTTCTCTCTGTACATGTCTGATGCCAAAGTCACACAACACAACTTTCAAAGTTGTCTGATCACACTACACAGTTTGCAGCCATGTGATGTGCAGTCATTGTGAGTTCATACAACACGAGGCGGGGGTCACACAACACACGATCTTTCACAAGGAGAAACTCTGACTAGTATCTGGTCTACAAACTATGTTTGCTCAAGAAAACATGCATAAGAGAAGACACTGTGAGTCTGACTGATCCTCCTGCTACAAAATGACAGATCAGGCTTGAGAGGTAATGAAATAGAAATAGTTTAGTGGACATCACATCATAGTTGTATGTTGTAAATGGCAAAAAGTAATTATTCTCAACTTTGCCATTAAAAATTATTTAAAAAACGATTTCATATTTTATCATTCACACCTACAGTACTTTATTTGGTTCATACTCAAACTTACTTATTTGTAAATGTCTGTATTTATATTGTTTTTCTAGTCTTGACCACTCATCGTACAGTACAGTTATTACGACCCACACACATTCTCACAGTGCATCACGTTCAAACCACCGATGGGATTCACTTTGTGAGATGTAGCAAGAAGTTTGTGTAAAAGTGACCCGTTCAGCAATTTAAAAGCAATGTAAAAAAGTTTTGCTTTTTGAATAAATTCTCATTATGTGCCTTACTTTTTTACATTGACACAAGTTTGAATAACATAAGAATTAAATAATTGAAATAAGCTCAAGTGGCAAACTATTTATTATTACTATGTGCCACAGCTGCCAGACTGAATACAGAAGACGTTCACAGAAACTGGCTGGTGGGGAACAATGTTGGTTGTGTTTTAAGTTTATGGCTCTAAAAACAGTCACAGTCAGACTGAGTCACACTTTCACTTTATCAGCACAAAAAACAGCTGAAGAGCTGCTCTGTTTCTACTAACAGTGAGTGTGTGTGTGTAATCTTAGAGCGTATGATCATGTTAAAGCAGAAAAAACGAAATTGCACAAGAGCGGCAGTGGATCCTGATGCATGCTCACCTTGACAGCATTTCCACGTATGAATTTCTTTATCGTGGAGAACAGGCCGGTTTCATTCTTCTGCATTTTGCCTCGACCTCTCACCGAGGATGGCTCCACTTCACAGTGTTTCCGTTTGGCCGGGGTTGGGTGGGTTCGACGCCCTAAGTTTGGCTGCTGAGGAGCTTTACGCACTCTCAGCCTCATCATGCTCCACCGTCACATAGAAAAATCTGAGAAGGGGGAAAAAAACCAAGAGAAATGTTGATTTAATATTGGAGATAATATAAACTAGACATTCAATAGAGAATTATTATTTGTAGAGCACATTATATTCAGATTTAGCTCCCTTCGTGTGTGTGTGAAAATTAGTAACACTTCAATATATTGTAGTCAAACAATGTCACCTTCAACTTTAACCTTCATGGTGAATCTTTTTGAAATTGTAATAACATTTACATATTTACCACAACGTCAACAAAAATGTACATAGTGAACTTTGTAGAATTGATGGCAGAGTGGTTGCATTGAACTGTAACAGATTTGTGTGTTTATTTATGTACTGTGAGGTATTTAGACGGACGTCACAAAATAAAATGATTATTTTATTCTTATTATTGTACATCTGTGCCTAATAAAATGACCACTGAGTAGAGACCAACATAGGTAAGAAGTGACAAATGTCAAATTCACAAGTTAACTTAGCAAAGATCAAGTCAATAAGAACATATTTCTGTATTTTATAAGTCAAAGACAAGTCAACATAAATGCACAACTGCAACATACAGCACAAACAAATAGAAATCATTTTACCGGTTTAATACCAAACATCAGTCAATGTCATGAGTCAACATCCCTTCTTCTGCTGGAATGTGAGTGTTTTTGTATGTCTGCCTGGTTACAATCTTAAAAAGGCTGTAAATTCAGTGTACATTTGTTTTGTAAAATTTAGCCCAGTTCTGTTGAATAAAATCCAAAATCACAGTCATTTAGGAATTTAGGAGATTATGCTTTTTAGAATCAAACGTTTTTAATAGAGATCTTCTGCAGTTAGTTATTGAATAATGTGACAAAGATGTGTGCATTATGACTAAATCTCCCAGAGACAAACTATGTGAGGGAAACATTGTGTTTAAATGACCTCAAACAAACAACATGTGGAGCCTTTCTGAGCTCCAGCCTCTTGTCGGTGTATGATCACACTGATCTCTGCTGATGCCTCAATAGATTGAATTACATCAGAGTGGATTGTCTGAACATGGTCATCGATTCAATTGACATCAAGTCATGTTTGGTTGTCGCAACAAAGTTGAGAGCACAAGCTGACGTCCCCACCAGATGAGTCAGACCTGTCAGTGTACGTGATGAACACGAGTGTCACTCTGATATGTGAACATCAGACATGTTCTCTACAAACTCTCTCTCTCTCTCTTTTCATATTTGGTCAGTAAAGCTGTATATTTATTTATGTATCATGTAGCTGTAGTTGATCCACATGTGATGGCCTCACAGCACCGCTGTCTGTAGTTATGTAACATCGGACAGGCAGCGTTAACACTAGCGACAACAGCTAGCGCTAGCATTAGCCATCTGCTGCTATTAAACGTCACAAACCACAAGCTACAACCATTGAAGCAAAGCTGGGGTCCCACGTGTGTGTGGTCGTAATTGCCGCTTATGTCTGCGGTCAACTGGGATCAGTCGCACCGTGAACCGGCTGCTGTTAATGGCTTCAGTGGTTAGCGCAGGAAGCTACAGTGTAGTTAGCTCCTAGGCTAACAAAACAACCAGAGGCAGCAGGGGCAAAGCGGTGACAGTGTTCACCTCAGTCCTCACACGTGTCCCCGGTGACACTCGTGTGTTAAACACGCAAACTACCCACGAATCCATCGGTGGAATGAAGCTAATTGACAGCTAGCCGCGCTGTGGCTATTTTGTTTGCCTCCATAACTATGTTCAGCCATTAGACTACGCCCCCTTCGCTAGGCTAACGTTAGCCGCTATGTAGCAGCGGCGGAGGACGAACCCTTTTCTTTTTGTTTACATGTTGACGTTGTTTGTTGCTTACCGATGACCCGGAAAGCTCGCGGACCCCTGCTGCAGCGTGGTCGGCTCTCGGCGGCGACCGTGGCGGCCCAGCTGGTGGATGTCGGGCCGTGGTGGTCGCTGGCAGCGGTGAGTGTCGCTCGGTGGCTGGTCACAGATCAACCATGTCTGCGCGTAGACGCCATTTCCCGCCTCTTCACAAACACAACGCAGGAGAATGCGACACGCGCGTCGGGGAACCAACGTGGCGGAGAGCGGAGGAAAATGGCTTTAGACTGAGAGCAGCTGCACCGAGGCTCACTACCGCACCGAGTCCCTGCTGGCGCTGCGGTGGGACTGCATGTTCACGCTGGTGCACCTGCAGCCAGTTCCATGTTACATGGAGAGCATGATCTGGTTCTTTATGTATTCTTTTTTTATTTTTTTGCTAGCTCACATTGTTACCATTAGTTTAACATTTCAGTGTGGGATGCAGCTAACGCTCACTAAAACCTGCCCGTCTGCTTGACCTGTGTGAATATACAGTCACTTTGTTATTGTTTATGTGCTGGGCAGTTTGAGCAGAGCTTTTTATTAACAGTCCATGGTGCAGAGTGAAGTGAGAAAAACTTTGCGTTCATCCTACCTAGTTTATCTGCAGTGATGTTTTTCATAAAATGAAGGGGAATTTGCTTTATTACTGTTCATGTGTGTGGTTTGCATGAATAAAGGAGTTGATTTGAAACCTGCTTCACTGATGAATTTTGATGCTTGTAACAAAGACAGTGGTATTCAATCAATCAACCAGTCAGTGTGCCCAAAGACCTAAAGTGACAATAATAATCTTAGACATCAAGTAAAAAAATTATTACTAAAGAAACACAAAGCCTTAAAGTGTTTAAGATTTAGGTGAAAGGAAAGTATTGGCAGAAATTTTATGTAGAATATATTTTTTTTTTTACATAAGTCCAGACTGGAAAAACTTAACACCTTTTGAGTTTTTATGACAGCTGAAGGTTCCCGCAGGTTCTTTTTCATTTTTGGAAGTGGAGGGTGTGGTGAAGGGTGTTAGCTGCAACATGCAATTTCAACACTAGATATCACAAAATTCTACACACTGTACCTTTAAGCAATAGATCAATATTGTTGTTATAATATAAAATTATCATAAAACACCATAAAGTACAAAGTTTAAACTATTCTCAGTATATATTTATCATTTTCATTAACAATTTAAGTTTTTACATGAATACAATCATAGTAGTTTTATAAGTGTCACAGACAGTGTTAACTTCATAGTTGATGACACTTGAATCACTAAAATCCCTCCCTGAAAAATAACCACGAATGATGAATTTCCTGCTCTTTTTTCATAATAGAAATGTCATACAATGAAATGTAACGCATGATTAAGGGTTTATTTCATCCCAAGATGAAAGAGTTTCCTGTACGGTCCTGGTCCACCCCACAGGCCCCTTATGTAAGAGAAATAAAGAGAATAGTAGTAAATATGTTGGAATGAATCAGTACTATCAACACGTTGTTGCTCAACCACAATGTATAAATACCTGAGAAGCCCGTGCCAATAGAGATGAGGCATTACATCAGCTTTCATGTAGTACATTAATCGTCTTTCTTTGGCCTGGTTGATGGGGAACGTTTCCAGAGGTTGTCCATTGTAGTCAAACTCTGCCAGGATGACTGTGTTGTAGCTCGTAACCAGTGGACATGATGTGTAGCCATCATACTGTTAACAACATAACTGATAATGTATTTGCACATTTTGCAACTGAGACGCTTCCAACAGGGCAGTTATAAAACAATTCTAAGTTGATGTTTATGTGCCACTTTACCTTCTTATCTGGCTTCTCTTTTTTCAGGACTTTGCTGATGGTTCTGTTCAGGATGGCAGACTGTGCAGCTATAGAGAAAAGGACAGTTTAAGAGTAAAGAAATCTATAGATGTTTCCTTTAGGGAACTTTTTTAAAATTAAATGTATCCTTAATTTAACCAGGAAGATCGCATCTCATCTGCCAGGGAGTCCTGTTCATGGTGAGCAGCAAGGAATTAAAAAGTTTCATAGATGAATAAAAGCAGGAAGAGATTACACATAACATGTGATTTCCGCAGCGGAATTTATAACAACAATCAGAAAATGTCCAGACCCAATTTTCCAGACATTTCCCGGAGTTCATGTCTGAAAGCAAGGTTATGTTTAAAACAAAATAGTTTGCACAATAATTTTTAGTATTAATTAGAAGGCAAAAAAGAGATCACATCTGTAGTGAGCTTACTGAAATACAAAAATAGGACAATATTTAAGTTGTAATGTTCAACATGTTAACACAGTCAGCATCTTAACATAACATTATGTTAAACACAAAGTACACTTGAGACTGACAAAGTGATGGGAGAGTCTGTCTCTTATTGAGAAGTGTATCTACATTACAAGCGTCACAGGGTGTGGTGCCCTATTTTACAGTCTTGTTAAAGTAGTTTGTTGTGTAACTCACCCATGGAACACAATGACTATCAAACTACAAGATACACTGGCAGCTAACTGAAGATAAAACATGATTAATAGTACAAAAAAACAGTGTACTTTCCAGTAATGTGATGCTGCAATGTTCACAGTTGTTACACAATCATCACTTACCGACAGCAGCAGCAGTTTTGGACGTGGGCAGGCTGGTACAGTCTCCGATCCCAAACACATTTGGATACGTCTTATGTTGGAGAGTCTCTTTGTTGACATCCAACCAGCCGCCCTCATCTGCCAGTGGACTGCCTTTAATCACCAAGTTGGGTCCCATTGGGGGTGTGACGTGAAGCATTTCATACTGATGAAGAAGAACAGTGAAGGTGAAGGGTTATTACTCTGGTCTCTTTTCCTAATGTGTCATATATTTAGGTACAAATTGAAACAAAAGATAAACTAGGTTGTTGATACCACACAGACACTACAGACAAAAACACTGCATTATTATTTCAGGATTTAAATAGAAAGCAAATGACAAACCACAGAGGCAATTGGTCTATACAACACGAGGAGGTACAGAAATACAAATACCTCAATGACATTTGTTTCTCCTGGTTTGTCAAGGTTTTCAAACACAGCTTCGTGTTTGTCTGCCCGCACTTCTATCAGGTTCTGCCTCAGGTTCACTTGTAGGTCACGGCTTTTCACAATTTCCCACAATGAGTCAGCATATTTCTTGACGCCAAAGATCACAGGGAGTGATGTGTTGTATATTATATTGGCCTTGGCCCTTTTTCCTGTCTTGAAAATAAACATAAAAAGAGAGCTTGACTAATTCTGAGAGATCATGGGACATAAACAAAAAATAGTTGTTACATCCCAAAATGTGAAGTACCTTCCTGAGAAAGGAATCTGAAAGGTACATGATCTTCTGTGGCGCTCCGGCACATTTCACAGGAGTATTTGGGAAAGAGAACACAGCGTTGCCCTCGGTGAAGTTCTCCAGAGCTTTCCATGTTTTCTCCACAGTTTCCACTGAGTAGTTTGACCCGATCTTTGGATGTTTGAACCCCTCTGGTAGTCCTTTGATCTGTGTTTAAGAAGAGTGTAAGTTTCCTGGGACATAACTGCAGTTGTAATTACTGTTTATAGAGCTGCAAAAGACAGAAAGCTTTATGGAAATTCACCTTCTCGAAATGCAGTTGTATTCCAAGAGCCACAATCAAATACTCATATGAGATCTGCAATGTGAAAGACAGGGCTAGATGGACGGCTTCAGCTTGCTCAGTGCAAAAGCCAATAATGATAAGCCAGTATCAGCAATTTTATAACTTCAATTTGTGGACAGCCATTGTTATAGCTCCCTAAAGCAAACATACTTCAGTTCCATCCTCTGTGAGGACCATATTTGTGTCTGGGTTTATTTCCTGAACTTTAGATTTGACCCACTTCACTCCAGAAGGTATTACGCTCGCAGTGGGTCGACCGGATGAGGCTACAGATTTTGCACCGGCACCGACCAGGGTCCATATTGGCTGATAGTAGTGCATCTGAGAAAAAAATGAAAAGAAAGTCTTAAACAGCAGTTTGGTTTGACAGAAGGCATTATAATGTTTTCTACAGGAGAGATGAAAGCAAAGTTTAATACATGACAGTTTGTATTAGGGTCTGGGGCACAGACTAGTAGATCCTTGCCTCACTAGGCTCTATGACAGCGACGTTCCCGGCTCCCATCATCCTCTTCATCCGTGCACTCATTGTGATGCCCCCGCTGCCTCCTCCGAGCACAAGCATTTTGTAGTGCTCTTTAGCAGAGGCCCGGCTGCTGGTGTGAAGATTACAGATGGCATTGGCCTTGGAGTGGCATTGCCTCAGACGAAGCAGTGCAGCCATTCTGCGTCCAAACAACAAATGCAAGTCATGCTGGTTGGCAACAAATCTGATATATTTGTCTGTGAGCGGAAGAGTTGACAAACGGAACTTACTGGTTTATGCTCAACATAGAAAATGACTGGTTTTCACTTGTTCTCACTATTGTAGGTTAAAATGACTTTATGATTAAGTAATAAACACGTGACATTCAGTCATGTGGTAATACGAAGAAGAGGAATTGGATTCAAAGGACTATCACAATAAAAATACTGCAGATTATCTGTAGGAAAAAATGTTTCATTATATTGAAATTTTTTAAAACAAGTTGTTAAACAAATAAGTTAAAAACCTTTAACTTGAATGAGACGTTCAGTCAGGGGATATCATGGATCCTAATCTGAGATGAACTTGGGAGGCTGTTTAGTACTTCTGCGTAACAAACAGCCTCCGTCACCAGCGTAGACAGCTTTAACGTGGTATTCAGGTACAGTTTAGGACAGAAGCGTCGACAGAGACCACTTGTCTACACACACGCACATAAACCTACCTCGTCTGTTTTCCGTTAAAGTCCTGTCTGGAGCCTGCAGAGTCAGTGTGCTTCCTGTCACCAGCGGACAGAACAGTCGCAGTTACCTGGACTGAACTTCCTGGTTCTGGAGTGAAGAATGAAATGAGTTGTGTCGGTATATGTAGTTCACAGCCTTAGTCCCGCCCCCTCCACAATCTGACCAGTCAAAAGCTTCAGATTTAAACACATCCCACTAATAAAATAATGAACATCTCATCTGTTTCCCTTTTTTTCTTTCTTTCTTTCTATGATTCTTTCTTTCTTTCTTTCCTTCTCTCTTTCTTTCCTTCTTTCTTTCTCTCCACAACTCATCTAATCATCTTCAAGCCTGTAGGATGGCATGACTGCTGCCCAAAGGTGAAGCCAAAGCATCTCAAACACCGCCTGGTGGCTGGCTGCAGTATAGGTTAGAAAGCTGGCCTCCTCTATGTTGGTGGATGGGACATGGACTGAAATTAAAAAGTACATTGTGGTTACATGTTCAACTGTTAATTTTTCCTGGCAATGTTGGTTTTAATTAGTTAATTGAGGCAGTAAAAACTGTCATGTCATGATTGACCGCTGAAACTGACTCATGATTGATTGAGCCTGTGTACTGACCGTGGCTTTGTCTTCCGATCTCTATTGTGCAGACTGTGGATCCTAATGTACAAAAGAGTGACATTAGTATCCCAGATATTTTGGTTTCATTTCTGGATAGTTTTATATATTCATATGAGCGTTTATATACATTTACAGAAATACACTACATATTCACTTCATATGAGATTATCTTATATATTTGCATTGCACCTTGCATATTACTTTACTTAATTTCACCTTCCTTAATGGAGCATATTTTATATGTATCTTGTTAACCAAGCTTTATTTTGATTATTTATTTATTTATTTTATTAATAACAGCACCATACTTGTACGTTTATCATTATATTCAGTGCTATGTTTTTATTATGCTACCACTATATAAAATGAAATATAAAATTAGATAAATATGATAAGAATAATTATGAAAGAAAGTTTTTCAAAGTAACCATTGGTCCAATCCAATCTGACAGACCTCCTGCTGCTACATGCACAGGTGCACACACACACACACACACACACACACAAACACACACACACAGCTCCAGCCTGAGACACTGGTGTCTTCCTGCACCATTTTCACAGCCTGCAGTCAGTCCCCATCTCTCTCTCTCTCTCTCTCTCTCTCTCTCTCTCTCTCTCTCTCTCTCTCTCTCTCTCTCTCGTTTCGTCTCTCACCCTTTACATGACTCCATCCATTGCTGGTGATTTTGATTCAGGGGGAGGACGCAGCTCTTGTGAGGAGAACTCCGCACAATGTGATGCTTGGAATAAGCTTGAAACAGAAGATACATGGAGGAAACACAAGGATGCGCCCGTGACAAACTTATGCAAGGAAAAGAGAAATGGAGGCAGACTTCAGAAATATTTCCATGATACATCCAAACACAAAGAGAGCTATTTCCTTGTAACATGACTGAACCGTACATCAAGTTTGAGGAATATTTGTACTTGGAACCTTTTCCTAAGGAAACAGCTCCCAGGGGATGTATTTGCTTCTGCTGCTGTTGCTGCTGGAGCTTGTCTCAAGACAAAAGAAACAAGACACCACTTTGCTTCCTATTGCCTCAGATGTAACTCCAACTTGCATTATTATTACAGACTGACTCATTCCTCCTCCAACACATACTCCACTTGTGCTCCTCTGTAAAATGCTCAGCACCACGCTTTTTATTATTATTGGCAGTCAGATAGATGGTTATTGTGTCTTTTAGGGGAAGGTCCCAGGAGAAGATGGCTTTCTGGAGGAGAAATACTCTTGTTGGTAAGACACATATTTTCCATTCATTTTCATTCAATTTATTTAAGAAACAAAAATCATTCTTTTTTGTTTTCAAGAAGGGGCAGGTCCTTTATTGTAGCCTATATTAAATGTTACAACAATAGATAAACAACATATTGAAGTATTTAGTTAATGCATAAAAAAGTAGCTGACGGTTTTCTTAAAATGATCCAAAATAAGATATGAACAATAATTCTGGTATTACATAAATAAATTATACATATTTGTTAAATTATTTTTGTTATTGTTATTATTATTCAGAAAGCATGAGTCGGATGTTGTTTCGTCCTCTCACAGTCAGATGTACTCTCTCTGTCTCTATGTGTGTCTTTTTCTGTGTGCATGTGCTTGTCGTGTGTCACCTCATGTAATCAGTATGTGGCTGGCAGACACAGAGTGAGGTGACCCTGTGACAAACATGTTCTCTTTTTTAATGAAATTCTATTTATTTAAATTTCTCAACCATATGTGTGTTGGGGAAGAAAGATGTTTCAGAGCTACTGACACTGGTCATCTAAAACATTCTTGTGTCAACGGTAAGTCTCAGTGGTCTGAAATAATTCCAGAAGCATTTGTGAATAATTTCACCGCTGCATGATATCACAGTGTTGTTCAGAACTTCAGGCTTACTCAAGAGTCTGTAGAAGTCTCTGGTAAAAAAGTAAAACTCCCTCAGGAATCAGAAAACTTCATCAATTTTGCGCTTTATTAGAAAAACAATTTTGTATTGATGCATCTTCTAATCAAATGCTTAAGCAGACTGAAGCCTTCAAACTACAAAAGCCTTTTTTAAATAATTGATTGTCACAGTAACTGAAAGCAGGATGAGGGCAGTGGGTTTTTGTGAGAGGATCTATCCTGTTGCAGCATCTCTGCGTGTGTTTTATGCATAATTCAACAATGATTTAAGGTCGTTTTGAAACAACTGATCTAGCTCTGAGCTCCTTAAGGTGTTGCTTTGTGGAAAGTTAATGGTTTCATCATTTTGCAGGTGACTGGTTTTAATTGTGTTGTTTCATGACTTAATATGTTTCCTGTCTGGATGGTTTAAAAAGCATGGTCGAGCATGACAATGACTATTAATGCATCACCTTGACGTATGAGCCATGAGATGAATGCCAAAGCTTTGAGTGTTGGTGAAGTCTTCAGGCTCAGGCGGGTTCAATCTGCCACAGACACTGTTAGAGTATCTCAGTCCAAACATGTAAGAGGTGTCTGTTGAAGCTTAACTTCATTTTAGAGGATATTGATCAATCATATGAATTGTTCAAGCTGTATACATAAATATTCCAACTTTAAATGTGATACGAGTGAGACTGTGTGAAAGAACCCTAACAGTAAACATAGCTTTTAACATTCACAGAGAAGTGGGATTAAATTGTGGCAACAAACTGTTGTTTCTAATTAATGAACTTTATAATTTATGATGATGGTGGTGATGGTGATGATCATGGTGATGATGATGGTGATGATGATGATGATGGTGGTGATGGTGATGATGATGGTGATGATGATGGTGATGATGATGATGATGGTGGTGATGGTGATGATGATGGTGATGATGATGGTGATGATGATGATGATGGTGATACCTGAGGACATGAGGGAGACACAGAACCTGCAACAGATCATGTGAAAGGATGAAGATACAACCTGAAACATGAACGACCTCTGTCACAGCAGACGTGTTGACTCGTCACAACAGGAAACATGCAGGGTTCCTCACATTAATGAAGGTTCTTTCTCTGTATAGAGAGGGAACGCCACGTTAAAGCCAATGCACGGGACTACAATGACAAGTTCTCATATGCTGTAAGTAGACATCGCAACATCATTTTTTATTTGCATCATCCACAAGTTCAAGCTGATTTGTATTTTTTTCATTATTCAGGACAATCACATCAAAACCTCAAAGTACAACATCGTCACCTTCCTGCCCCTCAACCTGTTTGAGCAGCTGCAGAGAGTAGCCAATGCTTACTTCATAGTGCTGTTGATACTGCAGGTAAGAGAAACTGTGTCTATGAAGACAAAATCTGCTTTCACATATTGATTTATCTAATGATTGAGTGGACTAACCTCAGATTTTCTTTTTACATAGCTAATTCCAACAATATCCTCTCTGTCCTGGTTCACAACCATCGTGCCTTTGGTGTTGGTGCTGCTAATCACAGCTGTGAAGGACGCCACAGACGACTACGTTAGTTAATCCAGATCAGTTTGTGTTTGCAGCTCCTCTAAACACTCCTCCTACATCTCCCATGGTCATTTTTACTTCTTTAATTTCAGTTCCGACATAAGAGCGACCAGCAAGTCAACAACCGTCAGTCTCAGGTTCTCATTAGGGGAAGGTATGAAAGTTCAAATCACCTGCACAAATTATTATATGCTTTTTATTCTCAACACATTTCATGAATATAATTGTAAGATCTTGTGCTATTTGTTCCCAAGTTTGCAGAATAAGAAATGGATGAACGTTCTAGTGGGGGACATCATCAAACTAGAGAATAATCAGTTTGTTGCTGTGAGTAAATTGTGCTTTTAATCTGTGTGCATTGATACCAAGTAGATGCTGCTGATGCATTCAGAGGGGAATTTCTTTTTCAATTTGTGAAACAAATTATTGGAGTAAGTTCATTTCTGCGTCTTTATGTTAGGATATAATACAGAGAAAAGTTATTGGAGGATTCAGAGGCTGCTGCTTTTGCAGGTTCAGTGGTGAATGATTTATTGCATTTTCTCATTAGTGTTTCAAATTGGTTTTACACTCAGGCAGACATCCTCCTCCTCTGTAGCAGTGAGCCCAATGGACTGTGTTATATTGAGACGGCAGAGCTAGATGGGTAAGTGCCGTACTGGCCTTTTTTCAAGGTAAAACAATCAAATATGATACAATATCAATAGTGTGATGATGGAAACTGTGGGAATATGAGAAATGTAGTAAATGTGGCTTTAAGATCTGTTTGAGTTCTTATATTTCACATTAGAAGAATTTTCCATTTTTGCCCTCATAGAGAGACAAATCTAAAAGTTCGTCAGGCCTTGACCGTGACCTCAGACTTGGGAGATATTTCAAAACTGATGGAATTTGATGGTGAGTTGATGTTTGGAATATTTATTCATGTACATTTTTGCCTTATGTGCATATATGACACATTTTTGTTGGATGAGTAAGTATCTCAATTTTCCTTTACTGTTTTTATCTAAAACTCT